TTCCATAGTTGATCAAATATCTAGTTGGGCACTCCATGCATTCTGTCTGTGTATGTTACACATCCATTAACAAATATTTATTTTTAGTAAAACATCATTTGAATCTATCCTTACCTACTCATATACTATCCTCCATAACCCTTTAATAGAAAATGAGTAGGCTAAATTATGTGTTTTTAAGTCCATTGATTTGGAAATATTATTTCTATGTGTTTGCAAGTATAACATATATACTGTATGTATCTTCACATACACATATCTTGGTTTGATTGGGCTGCTGTACCAAAATTCCATAGATGAGTGCACTAGCAGAAACTCATGTACCCAGAATTCTAGGGGCTGGAAATCCAATACTGAGTTTCCAGCTAATTTAGTTTCTTGCTGGAGGTTCTTTTATTGGCCTGAAAATAGTTCACTTCTTGCTAAGTCCTCCTATAATGAAAAGAAATACAGATAGAGAGGCAGGAGCCACTGGTGTCTATTCTTAAAGGACATGAATCTTATTGGATCAGGGCCCTTGGTTTCATTTAACATTAAGTAGTTCATTAGAGATCCTATCTGCAAATATAACTATACTGGGCATTAAAATTTCTCCATATTATTTTCAGGCCTGGGAAAAATTTCAGCCCATATGATGCATATACTGTTAAATTGTTTTAATTTCTGTGTTGTGTTTCATTGCTGCAGTCTTTTTTGCTTCCATGAATATATTTCTTTAATTCATCTACAATGTGGCATATGATTGCTCTCCAAAATAATTCATGTGAAATACCACAAATTGTTGTTAAATTTAACATTCCTCTTTTTCTGCTATTATGAACAATGTTGCTATGAACCTATTTATTTATTTCTCTACTTGTATGTGTGAGAGATTATCTTTATGAATTGGAATTGTGTGGTACACAGCAATACACAATTTCAACTGTAAATCCTGTCAATTGCTTTCTCAGTTAAAAGTGATTAAGATTTCAGTTATTCACTCACTGTCAGAAAACATTACTAAAATTAATTTTTCTACTCTTTGTACAAATGGAACCTTATTGCGGTTTTAACTTGACTCTCTTTGAGTATTATTGACCATCTTCTCATGTTGTTATCTGTCCATTTTGTTGTTGCTATCAAGTTCCTGTCAATCTTATGTGACAGTTTCTCAATTTCTTATGTCTTCATATTGAGTATATTTTCCTATTAAATTGTAAGCCATTGCTGGGGGAAGATTTGAACAGGATTTGAGTAAAACTTAGTAAAACTTGAGTAAAAGAAGATATAGATGAAAGTCTTCCAGGAAATGGTATCTGGTACCCAGAGAAGTAGCACTGTCGTTTGTTAAATCACTTACATTGTTTAATGAAATGAGAAATCTTGCAGAGTCAGAAAACTTTAAAAACAAATCTTCATACATAAAGAAAAATAAAGAAGTGCCAACAGTGTTCTATGATTTTAGTGGAAGTTGTCATCTCAACTCCTGACTTCTAGAAAAGCGGGTAACTCAATTGTTGCATTATAATCACAGCAACAGGTGATTAACCACAATTTACAGGACCCAGAAACCACTACTAAAGTGTAATTATCTTACAAATAATTTCTTCAATCAAATAACAGTTTTGATGCTGCTTGAATTTAAATAGAACCAAACAATAGTATTTTAAAATATTTTTACATTGAATGATAAATACATAATATTTATTTTCTATCCATCATTGAAGAAATGGGGCCAGAGATACATGGAATGAATTTGGGATAGATTGTGTAAGGAGGTAAGTGAAAAGCTTATACTTATGGATATTTTAACATATTGTGGGAAACTTGCATCAGTGGGCTATTTATTTTCTATCCAGAATTGAAGAAATGGGGCCAGAGATACATGGAATGAATTTGGGATAGATTTTGTAAGGAGGTAAGTAAAAAGCTAATATTTATGGATATTTTAACATATTGTTGGAAACTTGCATCAGTGAAATATTTTGTTCCCCAGGTCTAGTCGCAATGATGAAATATGAGTTCCCTCCTTCTGTGGTTCATAGAGTGTTTTTGGTGCTCTTGAAATGGCGTGGGATTCAGAAGCAAGAAACACGGGTTCTGACGTCAACTTCTAGCTCCGTTTGTGATGGACTCTGCATCACATTCTACACCCACCCCACTGGTACACTGTGAGGGCAAGCAGCTTTGTGAACCCCCAAGTTCCTAATGGCTGCATTGTGGTTATTAGTGTTATTCCTGCCCGGGTAAACTCTCCAACCTCTGCTTCAACATATACTTCTTTCCCCAAGAGCACCAAAGACAAAGAAGCAAATATATCATCTTTGTCTCTAATTGGGAAGAGAGAATAGAGACAGCCCTCTGGGCCTCCTCCATGGTTTGAAAAAATTAGAAGGTACAATGATTTCCCAGGAGTTGTGAAGAAATGGATGTACATATATCTATCTTGTTTTGTTTTAACCTAATAAGTCTTTTGCCTGCCTCAGTTGAACATTGAATCCCTTAAAGGCTCCATTTGTTTCACTGAATTCCATGCCTCCTAGAAAGAAATGAAGAATTTTCTCATGTCTTGTAACTGAAGGTATCTGTGCTCATAAATGTAGGGGGCCATGTCAAAGCAAGAGTAGAATTTACCTCAAGTAGCATGATTAAATGTGTTTGTGTGAGTACATGTGTATGTCCCCTGTGTGCTACTGATTCCTAAATTCTACCTCACCCTCATACCATAGTATGACAGACAGCTCTATGTAACTTATCTTGAAAAACCTATCCAAATTCTGAGATGATAGGGCACAACAAAATCTCCATGTAGAACAATTTATCTCAAGCCAGTCGTATCCTATGTTGAATTTTTGGGATGATAGCAGACAAACATATCTCCTTTGCTTATCATTGGCCCTTATTAAGTCTGTTGGATTTCTTCCAATATTTATACCAAATCTCTAATTTTCTTATCTCTACTGTTACAATCCATGTGGAAGCAGATATTATTTTGTATCTCAACTAGTGCAAAAACCTCTTATTCAGATTTCTGTTGATATTCTTGTCTTGGTATAATCTGATCTCTATGCAGTAGACAGGATAGTATTTAAAAATTTTAATTACTGCCATATTTAAAGCTTTCCTTTGGAATACTGTTATTCTGGGATTAGAATTGAAACTTGCATTAAAGCAGAAAAGGCCTTATATACTCTTGCCCTTCCACAATTCTCTAGCCCCATATAGTTCCTAGACTGAATATGCCTTGAAGTTTCTCTGTCCCTCTAATGTGCTAACTCTGTTCTTTCCAGACACTTTGATAGAATGCCCATTTTTATATCTTCATTTGAAACACTATTATATTCTCATGAAAATAATCATAATCCCCTTTTGGGGAATACACAAAGATAGGCTTCCTCTCCACCTGGCTTTTTATACTTTGATGAATTATCTCTCAACCTCATGAATGTACATTCCTTCCAACTCCCTTTCTACACATTGTTACTAATATTACTAGACACAACAAAAATATTAGACACAATCAACATGTTCTACAAGTAGTTAATTTGCATTTCATTGTGATAAATGGATTGTTACTAACAAGGTAATAGGTAACATAATTCAATATATTACTCATATCATGGAGTAATATCACATTAACAGAATGTTTTAACACAGTATGCTAAAGATGTTGGAACTTTAAGGTAATTTCAATCAAGTTGAGAGAATTGGTACATTAATGTAAACTTTGTTAACTCCCAAAATGAATAAAGATTCTTAACTTCAGACACCTCTTCAGCTCTGAAAGACAGAGACCTTCAGATTTATGAGGTTCTATAAAAATATATGGGTTTTATTTTTTAGTAGGCAAATCATCCTTTCTCCTTCTCTGTTCTTTTGTGATTGTTCACAAAGATATGTCTAAGACCAAGTGATCTGAAGGAGAAAGAGAGATTAAGACTATTAGTAGAGAGAAGAAATGTTAGAAATATGACAAGAAAAACATCAATGAAGAATTACAAAAAAATAAGAACCAAGATATATCATGTAAAGGTACAAAATCCCAATGATGAATGTCATCTTATTGTATACCTAAAATGTACCAATCAATTTAATGAATTTTAAAAATCATTATATAAAACCTTGATTAGGATCCATGAAAATGGAAAATGTATTATTTGATTATGTCAGAGAGATAGAAAGAACTTGTTCTTTTGCAGATCCAGGATGTGGTTAGAAAAGTCAAATATTTCCTGGTGTTTAAAGGATCTGAAAAAGCATGAACTGGTTTGAATTCAGAGAATACACAAGAGGGAAGTTGGAAGTAGAACAGATTTTTGTCTCGACATTCCATGAAAGCTCCTTCAGAAAGGGTGATGGAAGACTGAAAATGTCGAATAGGAAAAGATTTACTTTAAGGAATAACTAATGAATGTACACAAGGTGTGACACTGATATTTTATGCTATTGATGTTGATTCATGGCCTTGAGGCCCTTGCCTCAACCTACTACCACTTTCCAGACCCTGATATTTCGGAGGATTTGAAATTCTCCAATTTGAAGGATTCATATTTGCAGTTCAGTAGCATCCCATTGCATTCTCTCCTCTTAATGCAACTCCTAGAAATAAAGCATTAATCAAAGTGTGTTTCAGAGATTATCAGAGGTGAACAAGCCATTAGAAATAATGTATTAGTTTTTGATTAATTGCCTCCCTATCTGGCCTTACACCTAATTCCCTTACCTCAGATTTCTATCATGGACTCAGACTTCTCAAGTTGGAACCTGGTCTGAACTAATGATCATTCAGATGTTTCATGGTTTTCCCAAAAGACGTTAAGCTGTTTTCCAGATGGATGAATGGTCATCTTTATCCAGATCAACATTTTAAACAAATATGGTAAAAATCTTGAGATATTCAGGTTAAAATGCACATACTGGTAGTTGGAAATCATACTTTCATTATGTAATTGTCACAATGACTTTTGGTTCTCTCATATGTCCACCCCTCTTGCTTCTCCAGCAATACAATAGAACAGAGCATGAGGAGGGGTAATCAGAGCAGTGCATCTGATTTAATCCTCTTCAGGCTCCCTATCAGGAAGGAAGAGCAAGGCATGTACAAGGACCTGTTTGTGGTCCTGTACCTGACCACAGTGCTGGGGAACCTGCTCATCATCCTGCTCATCAGACTGGACTCCCACCTCCACACCCCCATGTACTTCTTCCTCAGCCACTTGGCTCTAGCTGACATCTCTTTCTCATCAGTCACAGCTCCAAAGATGCTAATGAATATGCTGACTCATAGTCAATCCATCTCTTATGCTGGATGCATTTCTCAAGAATTCTTTTGCTTATTATTTTGTGCTGTTGATAGCTTCCTTCTCACTGCAATGACCTTTGATAGATATGTGGCCAACTGTCGTCCCCTTCACTACAACATCATCATGAGTCAGAACCTCTGTTTCCTGCTAGTAATTGTGTCCTGGGTCTTGTCCTCTGCAAGTGCCCTTGTGCACAATCTCCTTCTAGCCCAACTCTCTTTCTCTAGAGACAACACTCTCCACCACGTTTTCTGTGACCCCTCTGCTTTACTTAAGCTGTACAGTTCAATTACCACCAGCAATGGCCTGGTTATTCTCATTGTAGGATCAATGGTTATTACACTACTATTTATATCCATTCTGGTGTCTTATGGCCACTTTGGGGCCACCATCCAGAGATCATCCTCAATCAAGGGAATTTGCAAAGCCTTCTCCACATGTGGCTCTTATGTGTCTATAGTTTCTCTGTATTATGGAGCAATTCTTGGACTATACTTTGTACCTTCTTCCAATAACACTGAAGACAATGATGTCATTGTGGCAGTGTTGTAGAGTCTGGTCACACCAATGCTAAATCCCTTTATCTACACTTTGAGGAATCTGGATATGAAAGGAGCTCTGAGAAATCAACTGAGTAGAGGAACATTTTCGGGGTGAGACATTGTCCTTTATATTAAGTAGACATGAGTCTTGCACATGCCTTCTCCACCAGGAATATGAGAACTCCTATATCCTTTCCTCTATGAATTACTGTTTCTTAGTGAATTTTGATTGTCACTCACTTTTCAGCATGTATTCAACTTAGATGCAGTTTTTTTCTCTGTTCAATTGTTTTGTTTGTCTTGAGAGAATTGGGAATATTTTTTACCAACACCTGAATAATTTTCCTCAAACCCTTTATTTCCATACATAAAAATAACTTGAAGGGATCTATGAACCTAAATATGAAAGACTAAAACTATAAAACTTTAAGAAGAAATTATAAGGGAAAATGTTTATGAATTTATGGTAGGTAAGAACTTCCTAGGATACAAAAAAATGATGTATAAAAGAAAAAATTGATAAATTGGATTCCATCACAATTTAGAACTTTAATTGACATCGTTAAAATGAAAAGTAGTCCTTAAAAAGACCATATTTACAATGCATATAACCTATGACCAGAATATATAAAGAACTCTTACAGATCATTAATAAACAACCCAATTAAAAAGCAGACACAAGAAGATGATAAATAGCCAATACAGTACAAGGAAAGGTGTGCAACACTAGAATCAGAAAAATACTATTCAGTACAATAACAAGATTGAATTATACACTGATTAGGGAGATGAAGTTAAAAGTTTTAAAAGCCTTGTCATGACTTTTTTTTGTTGTTGGATTCTCCCCCTGTGCGTTTAATTTGTCAAGTCCAATGGATTCATTCTGCTGGGCTTCCTGGGGTTGTGATCCTCATTGTCCTTTCCTAGGATATTGTCTAAAATTTTTTGGAGTGCTGGTTTGGTATTC